CTCTCTCTCTCTCTCTCTCTCTCTCTCTCTCTCTCTCTCTCTCTCTCTCTCTCTCGTGGGCAGAATTCAAAGTTTCATCCCCATATAAAGATGGTTACTTTGTGGAATTATAGAGCAACTTATGAATAGTTCCAGGTGAGTTGGGTCTTTCATTGTTTCGTTCTTGCTTCTGTATGTATGATCATTATCGTTGATATAGTGATGATAGTGTGTCTGATAATTTATGAATTAGTAGTAGTTCCTCATCACCCACGCACCAACCTACATCTTTTAACATATATGAATGCTGGACTATGCTTACGCTTGATAAAGAGTACTTTTGGTGAAGTATCTTGGTTGTATGGCACAAGGTAGTGAAGCATTCCATGGAAAACTAACTTCAGAAAGACTTTCATAATGTCTTTTTGCGTCGAACAATTCGGTAAAGGATCTGACATTTGTTTAGGTGGTAGCATGGGAAGAGTGTATTTTATGTTTTGCTGGTAATTGAATGTGATTATAGTCAATTTTATTCATCCATGAGAAGGAAATCAGAGGAGTTCAGGTACAAGGTTTACTTTTATGTTCTCAAATGGCAATCGGGGTGTCTTTTCCAGGTAATAATTTGGTAATTAGCACGATATCATTTAAGTGAGATATATCAATTATAAATGCCATACTATACTCTAAAGTGCCACCTGCTCTATGTTCATCTATAGTTACTTCGCGCATATTTTCTCGTCAGATATTCGGCCTTGTAACTTCACTATATTTTGAGTTTTCTGGATAAGTTGTTTCTGCTTCAACAGCTGAAGGAAGAAAAAATATGACCTTTGAGATCAACAGTAATCCTCCAACGATGAGCAATGTCTCGAAAAAACCAGAAAAACACAAAAATCAGCACTCCAGGGATGTCACATTGGATAGCGAATTATGGACAGACGGCCTAATCTGTGCTTTTGAATTCATCAGAGGCAATAAGATTCCACTGTTGAAATCTCGTTCGACCAATAATCCCTCGACCTCGCATTTTAGGAAGAAGAACAGCAACCGTATACTTTCCCTCCAAACAGATTTAGACTATTTGAACATTGATACTGCAGATGGTAATTCTCATGCCCAGGAAAGATCTTCTGGAAATGTCTGGGTACCGATAGGATGGACGAGGATTACCAAGCTTCTTACCACCGTGAAATTTGTCTCTGTTTGGGCCTCTCAGCCCATTGAGATGGACGACGAAGATGATATTACAGTTGCGGATGTTGTAGCTCCCTTTTGGGAACGTCCAGTGGGGCCCACTTGGTGGTGCCATGTCGATGCAAGTCACCCTTATGTCAATTCATGGTTGAGCGATGCTCAGTGGTTGCATCCTGCTATCAGCGTGGCTTTGCGTGACGAGAGTAAGCTGATAAGTGAACGTATGAAGCACCTACTTTATGAGGTAATTTTCTAATGCCCGTTTCACTAGCTAATAATAACTGCTATAATATGGATGGCTAGGGAACTAATAGTTACGTGTAAACACTGTATAATCTAAATATAACTCTTCTTCCTTCATCTGTTACATTAAGTTGGTGTTTTTGGAGGGAAAATATTATATAGCTTATCCTTCTTCATTTCTTAATCTATGTGCGACTGTTTCTGGGTTTTTTTCGTTTCCTTTTTTTTTTTTCATCTTCATTTTCATTTTTTGTTTCCCTTTTTTATTCTTTTCTCTTTCTTTGTCTGTGGGGTGCTGAGGATAGACAAGTGATGGGTAAGAGAAAAAGGAACCTTTAGAAAAGCAGCCATTAATTCCACATGTATCAGCTATTTGATATCTCCAGAAGTATATGGACCGGCAAAAGTATTTTTACTAAGGTTTTTGTGAAACATTCAAATTCTTTAAACGGCATTTTTATTACAACTTGGGTTGCCCTACGACTAAGAGTCATCAATTTGTAATGCCCATCGATAAAATATTTGGTTCAATTATTGAAATCATGGCCTGTCAAAAAACTTAGAATCATGGGTTTACCTTTCAACAAATGGAAGGTCTTGGTTATATCAAGGAAGCTGCCTAATTAGACATTTTCCATTAATCTGTCTGTAAAAATACTTGAAGAAGTTGATGCAACAAGACCTTCTGGTAAAGAAATAGAGAAAGTCAAAAGATGGATAAGTAATTGTTTCCTTGTCCTCTCCTCTATTACATAGTTCTCCAGTGGTGCAAGGCTTACCTTAATGAACAGGTTCCTGTGAGAGTTGCTGGCGGACTACTGTTTGAGCTGTTAGGTCAGTCAGTTGGCGATCCTTATGCGGAGGAAGAGGACATCCCTGTTGTTATACGGTCTTGGCAAGCACAAAACTTCTTGTTGACTGCATTGCATGTTAAAGGTTCTTCGTCAAACATTAATGTGTTGGGTTGTTCAGAAGTTCAGGTTTGTCGATGCTTTGCGACATAACATAGGCAATCTATGTCCTGTTTTTGTTACCTCAAAATTTTATTCCTAAAATGATTCCATGTCTCCTCTTTTGGGTTCTACACAATTTAACTGCTGCTGTTGGATTAGGAACTGCTTGCAGCTGGAGGTAGTAATATGCCACGGACAAGTCATGAGGTGATAGCCCTCCTTGCCTGTCGCCTTGCCCGGTGGGATGATAGGTCAAATTAACTCTTTCTCTCTCTCTCTCTCTCTCTCTCTCTCTCTCTCTCTCTCTCTCTCTCTCTCTCTCTCTCTCTCTCTCTCTCTCTCTCTCTATGTAATGTAAATTGTTACTATTGTGTTATAATATTTCATTTTGTCCCTCCTCTCCGTGCTCTAGAAGCCGTCTTGGCCTAAATTAAACTGGTAGTTGTGTTAATTATACAAAAGAGATTAGCATTCAATTGCATTGGATGTGACAATAGTTAGTGATAATGTGATTATAGCATGGCATTCTCTCAAAGGTCAATTATGTGGCTGCATTTTAATCTGACCTTGTAGCTCTTTGTTTATCTTTTTAGATTATTTCGCAAATACATATTTGGGGAAGCTGATGAAGTTGAGTTGAAATTCATGAACAGGTATCATTGTATTTCCTGATAAGTTTCCACTTTCGAAGCATTTTCGTATGTCAGATAAGAACTAGTAAAAAGATTTCATCGTTTTCAACAGGAGAACTCAGGAGGACATGCATATATTTTGCATAATTCTGAACCAGGAAATCAGAAGACTTTCAACGCAGGTCCAGCTCACATGGTCCTTTACCAAATTAATTATTGCTACACGATGAAACTAAATTTGATTGCCTGTATTTGCAACTGATGATCGTTAATAATTCTGTACATCATCTTTAAATAAATTTTTGCGGTACTTGAACATATATTCATCATTAATTATATGCATATTTGTCTGTGAGATGTTGGTTTACTAAGAATTAGGAAGAAACAAAAAATTGTCAAATAGGTGTGTTTTTTTTTTTCAAATGAGATTATCTTCTCCAGTGGGAAAAGCAGAGTCGAGAGGGTAATTGGAGAAAATATCAACGAAAGTTTATCATAGATTATGTAAAAAGACAAAAGCTGTAGCTTCCAAATTTCACTAGGCGCCTGCCTGCCTGTTTTATTTACTTATTTATCCCTTCATAATTCATTAGTCAGCTAAAGCCTGCTGTCAGTTTTCCTGTTCTTACAGGTAATCAGAGTAAAATGGTGTTTACACGCAAGGGAGGAGATTGTATTTGAACTCCTCCAACATGTAAGAGGTTTTGCAGCTAGGAATTTGCTCGAAGGACTGAGAAAAAGCACACGACAGATGATTCAGGAACAAGAAGCTGTCCGTGCTCGCCTGTTCACGATTCAAGATGTCATGCAGAGTACTGTCCGTGCATGGTTGCAGGTGCCATATGCTTCTTTACTATTCATATTAAAACCTATACTGTACGCTTAGATTTTCACACGCTTGTTTGTTTTAACACAGTAGCGAAAAAATTACATCTTTGTTAAAATAATCTATTTTCTCAGGACCAGAGCCTTCACGTGCAGCATAACCTAGGCGTTTTCGGAGGCTGTGGCCTTGTTCTGTCCATTATTACCGGACTCTGGGGAATAAACGTGGATGGTATACCGGGATCTAATAGATCCCCTTACGCATTCGCCTTATTTACCGGTGCCCTCTTCTTGTTAGGAGCTGTGCTGATAGCAATTGGGTTGATCTACCTGGGGCTCAAAAAGCCACTAATTGAGGAGAAGGCTGAGGTGAGAAAATTGGAGCTTCAAGAGCTTGTCAAGATGTTTCAGCAGGAGGCCGAGTCTCATGCCCAAGTCAGAAAAATGGACTCACAGTCGAAAACTTCTTCTGCCGCAAAAGATATATTTGGTGATGGCGAGAACTTTGTTCTCATCAACTGAATTAAACTTCCCCCTAATGAACTTCACATTTGGCCAACAACAGTTGTGTCCTTGAATGAGAGGCGGAGTTCAAATGCGCGTCTAATCAAGGTACACTCTAACTATTGTCAACTCAAAATTAAGAATTGTTTTGCTTCTTTCTCAAGTTATCCGCGATAGCTTGATGAAACACGAATCAGTTCGAAATGCCTTGGAATAAACTGATTTCCCAATGCTTGTGGCACATGATTATGAATTTTGATTCAATAATATGAGGTTATTCTACGGTACTAAACCGTTAAGCAGGTTTTGATTGCTCGAAATGCTTTTACATCAAACCGGAAGGGAAACGATAAAAACAAAGTAGTTTTGAAACACAATCGACTTCTACTGATGATTGGTCAGAGGGTGGTGATTCAAAGTAGAAAAAAAATCTTCAACTTTTAACCTTAAACGAGCAAAACACCGCTCATGCCATCTATACCTATAGAAAATCAGATTCACTAACCTACAGAATTCATGAAAAATAAAGAATTCAAGTTAACCAACAACCCCTATAAGCAGCCATCAGGGATGAGCCTTCCATAAGAAGAACCGATGACATGAGAACACTGAGCAGTCGCCCGTCTCCCAGGTCCACTGTAAACCAATACAATGTCGATGAGCTTGATGTTTCTACACGGCATAGCTCGACTGCACTGTAACTTGAGTGCAACTTTACTACTCGAGATCCCCCATATGTTCTGGAAAGTGACGTCCTTAATCTGAACAGCCGAGCTCGATCCAACCTTTGAGTCGCAATGGGGGGACGGACAATACTTCTGATCGATAACAATTGGATTTCTCGGGTTCTCCATGACAATGTCTCGAAAAACAATGTTGGATGCCACACTGTACCGAGACGGGGCCCACGTCTTGATTCGGACGCCATTGTCTGTACCTATGAAGCTGCAGTTTCTGACAGTTATTCCTGTCACATACTCACGCTCGTGGCTACGCCCCAGGCTCCCGATGCTGATGCCGTGGCCGGGCCCACACGTGACGTCGTGTATGTCGATGTTTTGGCTGCCCGAGACCATAGATATGCAGTCGTCTCCCGTGCTGATTTGTGAGTGGGAGATGTTGACTCGGGTCGAGCTCCCGATTCGGATACCGTCCGTGTTGGGGCTGTTGGCCGGGGCCCGCAGCCGGACCTTGCTGATGTGGATGTTGTCGCACGCAAACAGGTTGATGTGCGCGCTTTTGCTGTCGACCGACCGGAGATTGTACACGGTCGAGTCTCGTACGAAGTCGAACCTCAGCGTCTTCAAAGAATTTAATGAAACAATTTAGTATTAGTCGTTCAGTCACACAAGTTTAATTCAACAACAAAACGACAAATCGTCGTCGGGAACTCACGGCGGGAAGAGGCAGGCACCGGGAGTTGTTCCGGCAGTCGTTGTAAGCCCACGCGGCTGGCCCTTGGCCGTCCAAAATCCCTCCGCCTTTGACCGTGAGATCGGCCACGTACCGGAAACCTATCCACGTGTCGGCGAACAAATTCGGGCCGTCCGTACGTGCCTTGAGGGTCCCTTTGATCAGAAAGGCCATCGACCCGTTGCAGTCGCCTTCAAACAGAACAGAACCCAACAAAAATGTGCCTCGAGGGATCCAAACCCGACTCCTCCCACCATATTTACATGCATCGTTCCATGCCCTCATAAAAGCCTATTGATCACACAAACTGTTACATAATTCCAACCAAAAAAAATGTAAGAAAATGAACAGAACTATGCACTTACCTGAGCGTTATCAGTTTTTCCATCAGCAATTGCACCATATTTAACGACATCAAAGATTTTGGGCAGTAAAGTGCCACTAACAACTGTTGAAGTAAACAAGAACATGAACATGAACACATGTCTGAAGGCCATTTGTGGGCTCTGTGCAAAAATTTGACAGCAATACGTTACAGAGTGTGTGTGCTGAGATTGTGATCAATCCTCCATTAAAGGGAGAGGATGGGACACAAGTTAAGTTCCTTCTTTTTTTTAAAGGATCTGTTGTAAATGGATTTTATTGTGTTTTCCATAGTTAGATGGCATTATTACCAAAGATAAAGAAGAGCAGTTTTCATCCACGATAGTAAATGGGAGTAGATGTGTGTGCCTAATTAGCTCCCTTTTTTTATTTCAAGAAATATATTTAATGAATTTTCTTAAATGTGATAATTTATTTTGTTAAATAAAGAATTCATAAATGTGATCTTTATTATATGGAGTGGAGACGAAGGGCGGGCATGTAGTTTTGCTTAATTAGTATAAATTCCTCGTGAATTCATTTACTTCTGTTTTAAGAAGTTTTAAATGGAAAATTGTGGGAAGTAGGATATAAAATAATTTTTTTTTTGGTTCACTTGCAAAAATATCGCGAACATTTAATTTAGTTGCAATTTAAGTATGACATTTTATTACTGATCTGAAAATCGACCTAGGTGGTGTCTGGGCGCCTTCGATTTGCGCAAATCGGCAGAAAAAATGGATCAGGCGGCTCAGCGGGCCTAGGTGTCCCTAGGCTCCTAGGCAGACTCGGCGGTCTCGGCGGCCAGGCGGGCATAAGCAGACCTAGGCGCTCATAGGTGGGCTCGGCAGCAATTTTTTGGTTTTTTTTTAAAAAATAATAATTACATTATTTTGTTCTCATGTTTTATTTAAAATAAATTAATATTATTATTGGACTTAGGTGTGTCACGTGTATGGATTTACTACTAGTTTTAACTCGTGCATTTGCACGGAAAATAATATGATAGAGAAAAAAGTAATAAAAATACAAACAAAAGTAAAAAATCATAAATTAATCAATCAAAAAAAAAAGATGCAAGAAAGTAAATTTAATTATTATTAAACATGTTTTTATATACAACATTCACGATTTCGTCAAAATGTCCATCACTATCAATTGTTATATTCAAACCCTTTCAACCCGTGACCCTAGAAAGAGCCACGTACAATTGTACATAACTATATACAGGGCTCTTCAATAATAACCCGACGTGCGATAGAGATTGGTCTTGACTCTTATTGAGTGTCATAGCATAGGAAACCATGAGTGGAAAATGCCTGCGGAACTTGAACGGCTACCTCAAATCGGATGGTATGATTATGAACCTATGAGTAAAAATCTTACGACCAACTCTGGCATCAGTTAAAATTCTACATTCTATGACATGGTAGCAGAGCTTAGTAATAACCAAATGCGTACTGTCGCACAACCTCATGGAGTGATAAGTGTTTCTGAGCAACGTCATTGGAATGCTGACTTTCAAGTGCAATTTATGATTCGGAAGGCCGACCCCTTAATCTCATTGAGAAATTTATGAGTATGAAGATCGTGAAGAGAGTCATATCCAACATCTGACTGACAAGAGGTGTCTAAACTCAAATAGGTACTTTTCTCGAAGGAGTTCAGTGAGCCCATGTACTCATTAATGAACTCAACGACATCAAATGTGGGAGCGAGTATGGCTTTGTCTTTGAAATAACTAAGATCATCTCCTGAACTCATGAACAACAAGTATGTACTCTCAACAATATATAGTAGCAATAGGAACCCCTTGTGACTTTAGAAGAATATTGTCTGGAATGTCGATAACGGCACAACTGTTGTTCGATCCACCGACTGTACAATCTGTAATGCTTGCAAGCCACTCCGAGAAGCACCTCAACTCATCGTACGCATCATCCCCACCAAGGTTTCAAAGCCTCATATTTTGAGTCAGTCTTAGAATGATACAATCTCGCACAACTTGGATCAATTGAGATCACATTTACTATGTCACTTGATTACCTTTAGGAACAATATGAGTATCTGTTTGAAATCACCAGGAAACATAACAGACTCGCCACCAAATGCAAAATTTTTCCTTGATGGATTCACTATTGTATTAAGGATCGTAAGGTGTTGTCAACCGCTGAAAGCAGTACTTACTAATCTTCGGGGCACATTTGGATGATTACAGCTCGGACATCGGAAGGAGTATAATCCGTGTAAGTCTCTAGTAGTTTATCAACATAACTCTCCCACAAAGTGCATGTAATTTGATGAGCGCTCAAAAAAACTATCAATATATATTTAATAATAATTAAATAATTATTGCTAAATTGAAACTTTGTAATATATAAAACTAATAAAAATTACAACAAACCTCAAAGTCTTCAAAGATAACCTTAATGAATCGGTTCTCAACACCTTTCGACATCGTGATTTGTACGTTTTGGTACGTCACGATGCGATCAATTATGTCTAAATAATGATATTTATACAATTTTTAAAACAAATCAATATTATAAAAAGTAAAAAATAAAATAAAATAAAAATAATCTTACAAAAACCTTACCAATAAGTAAAGTTGAGTTAATGGTGCTGCCATGGCGCAATTCACTGAAATTTTTTAAGTTGAAGACTTAAAACTAAAACTAATAGTGTTCTTTGGTAAAATAAAAATTTATAATAATTTGGTACTGTCTTGTAGATGTGGTCGAGTACTTTCTGGAACCAAGTTAATACATAAACACACGGAAGTAAATATTTGCTACTATATCTGATATGGGTTTTATTTATTTGCTAATATATTGTATTTTTTGTTTTTGTTTATAGATGATATTAGTACGTGTATTACACGGGTGCTTGCTAATTTTTTTTTCTTAAAATCTAAAATTAATGAGAAAAAGTAGTTGAAAATTTAAATACATTTTATAAAAATATATATTATTATACATTTAGTTATGACATTTTTTATTTGTGCGACTTACCTGTGTTATATTATAATAATTTTTTAACTTTTAACATATAACTACATTAAACATAAATAAATCAATTGGGAAATAATTTTATTTTTCTAATGAATTTCAATAAATATCATTATTTTTTATTATTGTAAAGATAAATATAATTTATTTATTTCATATATACAATATGGATGTCAAATCGAAGATCATCAAAAGATGATTAATTTGATATATTATATATGTAAAACCGATAAGAAATAAAAAAGTTATCAATTTTTAAAATACATTTACAATTCAATATTTAATTGAAGGAAGTAAATCAAAAGTCAGGGATATATTAGTTACTTAGTGCCTCATTATATAAAAACAAAGAATTGCAGCACCCACAATTCTTTGGGTCTAATTTTACATATATGGCATATAAATAAACTTAAGTCCTAAATGACATGGACAAACCCAAGTAAAAAAAAACTCAAAAGCTATTCAATGCAAAGATAAAATACTAGGTCTAGCATACATGACAACCAATAAAAATGCTCTAATATATTTCATTTATTAAAAGAAAAATTAAATGAAAAATAAATGATGAGTGCTTGGGTTTGTACTTGGGTCTAAAATAGACCCAAGTGTGGACTAAGTCTCTTTTTTTATTGCCACATAAGCTAGACTAAGTCCACTTTTAATTGCATTGGGAAACACTTTTTTAAAGACTATGTCTATTTCCTACATAGCATGTAATTTTTTTCTAAGAGACCCAAAGCATTGTGGGTGCTTAGTACAATGATATTAAAATACCTAAGTTAGCTAAATAATATTTGTGGAATGTCCGAACCTAGATTATTAATGATTAATATATCAATATTATTTATCCAAACCTAATTACGAAGCATGATTATTCGCCAAGTATGATTCTGAAGCACCAGAAGCAGCCACGTAGACTCAACGCATTCGGGAATTATATATAAGGAGATTATAAGTTGAGATAGTTTTATTTTGTAGGTAGTTAAAATAAATAAAAAATAAGGTATTTAATGTTAATCTCTAGGCGCTGGCCGAGCGCTCGGCCAGCGCCTAACAACTTTTAGAACATTGTTTTATTTTAATTTTAACAATTTAAGGCATGGCTTTTTATTATTATTTTTTTTCAATTAAGCATGGATAATAATAATTAGAACTACAATTTTGGTATTTATTCTATTTCAAATCGGTGTTGTAGTTTGCAAATCCAAACCCTTGATTTTATAAGATTTCAAATAAATTAAGAAAAATCTGATAAGATTAGCATTATATCCTTAGTTTATCATAAATATATACTCCATCTGTTTCTTTTTAGGTGTCTTTTTAATTTAAAACTTCTAAATTACTTATTTTTATGGGTTATGTAATTATCTTATCTACTAATCCTCTTAAATTTAGTTTTTAAATTATTAATGGGTTATTTTTAAAGATAATGATAAGAGAGAAAATTATTAGGTGATTTTTTAAGATTTGTTAAAGAGAATAAAGTTGAAAGAATAGATAAAATATTTTCAATGACAACTAATTTGCAAAAAATTAATATCCTACAACGACATTTATAAAAAAGAGTATTTTTTAAAACGGAATTTTCTCTTGCGAATCACAACTGCAAACTCTAGTCAATTATTTTTGGATAGTCCAAAACACGATGTCATTTTTGGATTGGTGGTTAAGAACACTATACACTGTAACATTTTAAGTCTCACAATTGAAATGGTCACATAAATTTGTCTCCTAAAAAAAGAATGATAATCATCATAATGGTTATCAACAACAATAAACCAGTCATCCATAAACAAAACATACTGTACAATAACAACTCTCTCTCTCTCTCCCTCTCTCTCTCTCTCTCTCTCTCTCTCTCTCTCTCTCTCTCTCTCTCTCTCTCTCTCTCTCTCTCATGAGCTGCCAGGGCATGCAAGATTTTCCTATTTGTTCTAATCACACTGGTGAATACTTGATAGTCGAAATTTGTGCGGAGAGCTTCGAAAAAAGAGGTCAATGTGTAAGTGGGTCGGGATCCTTGCTTTCGATATCGGCCGAACCACAACTCTCCTTTTCAATCTCCAAGCTGCTCGTCCGGCTTTTCCGCCTCCTCCGCTCCTGCACAGAATATAACTTCTCCCTCTTACTACTTCTCAATTAATATAACTTCTTCCTCTTACAACTTCTCAATTTTTCTTTATAGCGATTAAATCTCAAATGTAGTCACTAAGTATACACATCTCTTTCAATGTGTAAAGAAGACTCATTTTTTTTTTGTAAGAGCTGTAATCAGGAAGATATGTTATGTAGCTGATAAATTGGTCGGTTAGTGTCAACTCGCGTATATTCATTACCAATCTTAACTGTATATACACTCAGTTACCAGCCATACAGTGTAATCATGTTTCAAATGGAAGAGAAAACAACTATATTCTATGGCCATTTCTGTTTTCTAGTCTATTTATGATAAGATGATACACAGGCACACATTACAAATACGTCTTATTGATCTCGCGGGGGCAGTTTTTAGGTAGATGCATGCATACAGTTAAAGACACAAGAAGCACATTAGTAGCATAAAGAAATTCAGTAGTGAGATGGAAGCTTATTACCTCACGATAAGGAAGCTCGTCATTTTCAAGCATTACAACAACCTGACTCATTTTCGGGCGTTTTTCTGAATCAGGATCAACACACCTAAGGGCAACAAGAAGAGCACGCTTTAAAGCACGAGTTGCGGGCTTAATTTCAAGGTCAGGGTCAACAACTTCCTCAGCTCTCCTGTTCCCAACCATCATTTTCAGCCACTCAACAAGATTAACCTGCACCATTTATACATCATGTCACAAAGGGACCCACACAATCTTTAGGCATCATTGTACTCACATTTTACTTATTTTTTTTAAGATTTAGATGTAATTACCAGAGTATACGACTAAAGTAAGTACCTCACTGGCTGGACGTCCATAGTCTACAGGATCCCTTCCAGTGATAGCTTCCAGGAGAAGAACACCAAAACTGTAAACATCACTTTTTTCATTCAACAAGCCACTATTAGCATATTCAGGGGCCACGTACCTGAAGTCCACAAAGACGACCATGTTACGCGAAAACACTAACAGACAAAAACTGAAAAAGATCGAGATTCGTGTACTGGAGAAGAAAAAATCAAAAGAAAAGATGTTATTATACCCAAATGTTCCCATCACTCTAGTTGTTATATGACTCTCTCCGGATTCCAGCAGCTTAGCCAACCCAAAGTCAGAAACTTTTGCATTGAACTCATCATCAATCAAGATGTTACTAGATTTTATGTCGCGATGAATCACCTTTGGCTCTATAGCTTCGTGCAAATAAGCAAGTCTGCAAAACAATAATGACATCATTTACTTCGATGTTCTAGTGAAACTTGAATTTGTTGTCAAATAATTGTTTCTTTTTCACACATGCTCTATAAGCAAGAATGACCACAGATATTTGCAATGGTAAAATTCAGATCAGGTGTGCCGCGCGAAAAAGTTTCTGCTTCATTCACAAAAGTCAAGATGCCATTAAAACATTTAGGTCAACATGGGTTGCTAATTAGAGTAACTAAAAAAAAAGGACGTAAAAAAAATTGACTTACGCCTTTGCAGTGCCAAGCAGAACCTTGATACGGGCCTCCCATGTGAGGGTGCCATGTTGTCTCATGGCCCCATGGAGCCACTGTTCCAGGTTGCCATTGTTTACATATTCATATACCAACATCCTGCACATATAATAAAATTAACACTTAGCTAAGATGTAGCGCAAACAGAAACTAAAACAATGAGGGGACTCACTACCCTAACAACCAGAAAGCATATAATCTAGAAAATGGCCTTCAGGTGCAATCATGCCAAGAAGCTAACCTTTGAACTCCTTCTATGCAATATCCGAGAAGCCTAACAAGATTCTTATGCCGAACATGGCCAATGGCCTCAACTTCGACCCTAAATTCCTTTTCTGCTTGGCCACTGCAACAATACTATCTATTAGCCGATAAGCATAAGTGTAAAAAAAAAAAAAAAACTTTTATTGCAATCTCCTGTGAGAATGAAACATAAGACAAGTACTCACAGATTATTAAGGAGTTTCTTGACTGCTACCTCTGTCCCATTGATCAATCTGCCCCTATAAACAATCCCATAACCACCTTCCCCAATCACATGCTCTGTTGAGAAACGATTCGTGGCATTTTCAAGATCTCTAAGAGTGAACCAGTGGCCCCACCCAAGTTGAGACGCTTCAGGCAAACCAATTAAAGGAGACGGCATTGCAATTGCATATGATGAAGAATACTGCTTTCTAGCATTACCCGAGCTTCCTTCTTCCCCCGATTGAGAGCTATATGTCCTCTCTTGATGATGCATGGAACTGCACTGGCTGACATCATCGACATCACTAGATTTACTCCTTCCCAAATGAACTATCATTTTCTCAGAGTTCTTACCACTCGATTTATCATTAACAGTCAAGATTAGACCCTCTGGACGATCTTGTGTGCTTTGGTCCGCAACGCTGTCGACTCTAATTTCCTTTGAGACATTAGGGATTTGCACGAGATTGTACTTGTCCGAGGTTCTTTGTGATTTTCTTCGGAACATGACCCATATTGAGAGGAACCCCAGAATAAGAACTATAAATGAGCCAACGGATATGCCGATCAGGACCCATAGTTCTATATCACCATATTTCTTTGATAATGCAGCTTTTAGACTTCCAGACGACATTTTCGCAAGCTTGAAGCAAAGGCAAAACTCTGCTAAGTCAAGTTTAGAACAAGAATAAATCCATTCAATCCTGGATACTGCACGCAAATCACATTACCATAAATCACTTGATTGAAATATATATGTTGACAACATCAGGTAATCAATGCATTTGTTAGGTTAAACAACTGCTATCAGAATCAATCCCAGCTTAATCAAACAACGGCTGCTTAGCCAGTGCCAGAATGCATCACTGCTCACTGGTTACTACCCCAAGGCGTAAAAGCGTGTTCGGTTCTGTAACGCGCACCATGTGGTTTCCTTTAACTTAACCAGGCCAAATTTATCACACAATTCATGACATTTTCCAAGAATTAAACAGAATAGCATTCCCACCAAACTGAAACACATAATCTAAACCAATTTCCAAATCTTGAGCTTTTATCTCCATTTTAGGGATTGTATATTTCCAAATAAAGAAAAAGCCTCGCATAAGATCCAGAGAACAAAAAGTAATGAAGCCAAAGAAATTAAAGAGGCCAAGAAACTAAAGGAGATGAGAGCACCAAACCAATCATAAAAGTCACTTACATAGAGAAGCTCTGACCTTTGCTAGTGCTAGTGATCTGAACTTAACCCCCTTGATCTTCTTCCTTCAAATCTCAAAAAAAACAACGAAAAAGACTTCTTTTTTTGCAACTGAGGCTCAATAGCATAGATGCCAATGCTAGATAAAATACCCAGATAAAAAAAAATAAAAAAATTGAACCTTTAAAGGAAATAAATAAAAGGGAATAGCTCAAAAGAAGCTGAAGAGGAGTAGTTTAGAAGAAAAAAAAGGGCAGCCAGTGGTGGGCCAAAGGGAATTCAAGAAAACCGTAACAATATCCAAAAACAATGCCAGACAAAAAACTAATCTTTTTAAGTGAGCAGAGGTTTTGCTTTAATGGCGGAAAGAATGATAGGAGTTGGGACTTGGGAGATGCCCTAATAAAAGCACAACTCGGTGAGCTGCAATGGTGGGTTGAGTTTTTTTGGGAATGTCAATGTCAGTGGAGGATGAAAAAGAGCAGACAAGAAAAGCTAGAGAGGGAAAATGTTACTGTATTTGTGTTGCCATGGATGAACCTTAGATAAAGAGTGTGAATGATGAATAGTAAATGTTGAGGTAGACAGAAAATGAGGGCAACTATACAGTTAAAGCGGGGGAAAGTATATGGAGAGAGAGTGAAAGAGCTCAGCCAAAGATGAAAACGCAATTAAGAATTATGTCTTGGAAAAAGGAGAATGTATAATAGTACATGAGTTTCTTTGGAAAAAGTGGGCAGCATGATTGACTTTGTGGCACAATTTTAATTAGGGGATGCTTACATATAAATATATTTTTTTTTTTTTGTATTTTGATTAGATTTTTTTGGTTTGCTACGAATTGATTTCAGAAAAAAGTGGTATGATTAAGGTCAGGAGCGGACGCAGATTTATAGGACAACGGGGGGCATAATTTACGGTCAACAGTGAACCTCGACTCAACAGTCAACACCGGAAATTGATTTTATCTCTATGTGGTATATACATTTTTGTTTTGTGAGGTGAAAAGAATTAAACGAAAAATTGAGTACATCGTAAGCGTAAATTCTACAACATGAAAAATAACATACTATTGAAGGTTAAATCATTATAAACATTTAATTTTTTTATATATATTAAAATAATTTTATATTATAATTAATAACATGTAATTTTTATGTCAAAATAATAATACATATATATATATATATATACTATACTATATTGCGAAGCAACATATATATACTATATTATTGAAAAAAATTCTACAGGGGCCCGTGTCCCAATGGGCCTCTGTCTAAATCCGCCACTGATTAAAAATATGTTTGATAAAACTTGCTGATAAGCTAGCTTATAGTTAATCAAATTTTTTTTAGCTTATAGCTTATAGTTTGTGATTTATAGCTGAAAAACTAGCTTATATGATAAAAATGTTTGGTAAAACTAGCTGATAAGCTACCTGAAATAAAAAAACTCAACTAGCTTATTTGAAAAGCTACCTAAGAAAGCTTATCAAATAAGTTCGAGTTTTTTAAAAAAGTTTGTCCCATCAAACGAGACTTATATGAATACAGTGAGCTTATAAGCTAACCAAATAAGCTATAAACTAATTTATTTGTCTACTAAATATAGTCTAGCTGTTAGTGAGACTTTGAGTTTATATTAGAATAATATTTAAGATAAAATAATTCACGTTGATTTGATATAAAAGTAACAGAGATGTCATGTGAAGTGATAATTAGTTAAAATTATGTGAGTGAATGAATAGTAAATTAAAGTTGATGTAATATGTAATAATGATTGATTGATATTATTTAATTATATTGAAAATAGTGAGTTTGAATTTAGATTTAAGTTAAAATGGATGGTTGATTAAAAATATTGTATTTATCTATCCGACCTGAATTACATTGGTCAATAAATTTTATAAACATTTTAAAACGGAATTATTATACACAACACAAACACAAACACAAACACAAACACAAATTTTTTTACGTGAAATAATTTAATAATTAGTCGGTTGCATGCTTATGATATCAATATCAAAAATTTATTTATGTTGTTTTTTAAATAGGAGAATTTCTAATAAAAGTACGAATATTTATGAAAAAAACATATATCGACCTAATAATTTTTTGGGTACAGGGACCTTCCGGTTTCCGGATTCATAGGGGAACCGACTAATCCGGAATCGAGCCGGGTAGGACCACAAGGGCGGCAAAGCTCTCCCTCAAGAGTTTTAACACTGCTGCATTCCCAGGGCTCGAACACGAGACCACTGGTTAAGCTGGAAGAGACTCAAGCCATCTCATCCAAGCGCTCTTAGATTATATCGACCTAATAATTAAATCAACATTTTTGAAATAAAATTTCCTGTTTATCATAATAAAATGTTATGGTTGAATATAAATAATGTTTTAATTTATTAAATTTAGATGTTATCCCATACCATGTAACTTTTTAAATCATTCAATCATGCTTGAGGCTCTTGAATTTGTTTTCCACAGAATTGTGAAAAGCCAGGTGAAGTTTGACCATTATTAGTGTCAGTATGGGACGGATTAGTGTTGCTTGACACCCATATAATAGTTGGCACTAACTAAAATAGGGAAATAATTTAAAGAGGAATGTAAAACACGTAAATTATCTTGCTCAAGTTGGAACTAGACGTGGTCACGGGTTACTCGGCCCGCCAGCCCGGCACGGACCCGACCTAGTCAAACCCGTAGGGGTGGGCGAAAAAATCAGATTTCTCGATACCGAACCGGACCGAAATGGTCCCGTTCCAAAAAAAAGGGATCCAAACGGTTTCTAAAATTTTCATACCGTTCCCGGTATCGAACCGGTTGAAACAATGCCATATCGGTTTTTATAATTTTTTTCCCGAACCGTCCCGTTTATTCCGTTCTATTTTTTCGTACAAAAAATAATATATATGTGTATATTATATACATTATTTATATTTATTTAGCATTAACAGGCTTTGTAGTTTCAGTTTGAAGTTTCTGTTTTAATTAACAGGTTTGTGTAACTTTGAATGCTTGGTTGCAGCTTTGAGACAATGTTCAATGTTTAATGTTAAATTTAGTATCAATGTTAAATTTAGACAATGTTCAATGTTTAAGACAATGTGCATGATAATGTGTGTAAGACAATGTTCAATGTGTAATTTAGTATTAATAGCTTTTTTTTTAATGTAGAATGTTGCGGCTTAATTTGTTGGTATGGAATCAATTTTTTTTAAGTGAAACAATGAATAGTTTGAATTTTGAATATTTTTTTTCCGTTTTGTCTTGGTCCCGAACCGTTTTGTCCTGGTCCCAATTGATACCGATCCGTTTGGGATGGGGTCTCGTCTCGGATCGGTCCGGACCGGTTCAAAAAACCGAGACAGGTACCGGGATAGGTCAAATCCCGGACGTCTCGGACTGCGCCCACCCCTACAAACCCGTTGACTACGGGCCATGTCTAATTGGAACAATGTTTTGAAGGTGCTAATGCAAGATTTGGTCCAGGACCAAATTTTTACTTAATGTCCTATTGAAAATTAAATTTTAGATTTTACTCAACAAATAAAAATTATATTCAGATGGTCAAAAAAAAAAAAGTTACAACACAAGGTCATTTAGATTTCGTTCAAAACTTACTATGAAAAATTAGAGAATGTTTACACGATCAAAATTTGATCAAATTGTTACCAAAATCTGATTATATTGGTTGACATGCAGAGTCCATTGATATTGCTTACATTATAAGTCAACAATTAATTTTTTTTTTTTTAATTTGGAAAATTATGTGTCACATCAATTGACACAATGTTTATCAAAATTAATGGAGTTTGCTACAATTTAATTTGGTAAGACTTTTTGGATTGATTGAGAAAAATATATTTTTATTTTGATATGTATCATTTATCAAATGTCGAGATATTTTAAGAGATTTGTTATCACAATCAGATCAAATCTGTTAACAAAAATCGAGATTTGTTATCAAATTAAGATTAAATTTTTTACCAAAATTCGAGATTTGTTATTTAAATCCGCTCAAATTTGTTACCAAAATCTGATTAAATTAATTGACATGTAGGGCCCATTGTTATTGCTTATATTAGTAAGTCAACAATTATTTTTTACGTCAATTATTATTTTTGTATTTTTCTAACAACCTTTTAATATAGATATAAATATAGATATACATATTGGTGGTATACTAAAATACAAATCATAAACTAACTTGGGCTTTTCTACAGTCAGGTACCCTTGTACTTTGGCTTGTACTTAC